GGGCGCAGGCACGGGAGGGCCGGCAGCTTTATTTTGGGGTTGGCACCTGGGAGGAGCACGAGTTCCTCTCTCATCACCTCTGCCGGAGGAGGGGGTGCGGTTTTCCAGCGGTTATAAAGCTCCCAAGAGCAGCGTGGTTATCTGCAGGCCCTGAGGAAGGATGCTGAGAGGCGGCACGCTGAACGCCAGCAAGTGCAAATGCTCTTGCAAGCACTCGGGTGGAAACCGGCACCCAAGCGTAACAGACTTACATGTTGTAAGTGTTTTGTTTGGCGCCGACCGCTAGGGATCACACCGGCACTAGCTCTGCATGCCGCGGCTTGGCCCCTGAGCGCATAATAACTAACAAAATTAAAGTTTGAAGTGATCTAGTGAGTTATGGGAAGGGGCAGACCTCAGTCAGCCTGGGATGGGGGTGGTCCCTGTGCCCAAGGGGTGGTCCCGGCATCAGAAGTGGGGCTGGGGTCATCCCGGTGCCCTTGGGGTGGTCCTGGTGTCAGCAGTGGGACTGCGGTGATCCTGGTGCCCATGGGGTGGTCCCGGCATCAGTGGTGGGGCTGGAGTGGTCCCAATGCCCATGGGGTGGTGTTGGCATCAGCAGTGGGGCTGGGGTGGTCCTGGTGCCCGTGGGGTGGTCCCGGCGTCAGTGGTGGGGCTGGAGTGGTCCTGATGCTCGTGGGGTGGTTCCTGTGTTAGTGGTGGGGCTGCAATTATCCCGATGCCCGTGGGGTGGTCCCAGCATCAGCAGTGGGGCTGGGGTGGTCCTGGTGTCAGTGGGATGGTCCCGGTGTCAGTGGTGCAGCTGCAGTGGTCCTGATGCTCGTGGGGTGGTCCCGGCATCAGCAGTGGGGCTGGGGTGATCCTGGTGTTGGTGCGGTGGTCCTGGCATCAGCAGTGGGGCTGGGTTGGTTCCAATGCCCATGGGGTGGTCCCGGTGTCAACAGTGGGGCTGAAGTGGTCCTGATGCCCATGGGGCAAAGGGAGCAAGGGGGGGAAACAGTGGGGTTTGAGGTGCTCGCGAGACAGGGGTGCGTGGGGTGACAAGAGCAATGTGCGTCTAGCCCGGAGCTGCTGGAAGCTGGAGGACCCACACCAAACGTGCAAAATATCCTGGGTCGTGCTTGAAGAAGCTCACGACTGCTCAACTCATTGGCTTGATGGGTGAGTCGGTGCACTCCCGTCATCTGTGGGGTTTCTTCTGTGCCTACCTTCTGCCCTTACCCTGCCACGTACTTCACCTCCGTAGCCACAACGGCCCCCTTTCGGGTGGCCTCCTGCACCCCGCAGCCTCCTCCCTCCCCTGCCCTGCAGCTCTCGTGTAGGACCACGCCGCCCCTCGGGGCAATGCCAGGGGGACGCCGGCCGGTCCCCCAGATCCTGGCACAGCAGCACAGTTGGGTTTGGGAGCATCGGCTGCCATCTAGTGAAATAAACCCCAAAGGCAGCCGTGGCGAGGCAGGCGGTGGGGTGAAGTGACTCTCCCCCAGGAAGACCCAGGCAGTTGGTGGCCCCGCAGAGCCAGGCCAATGGCTCTTGCTGCTGAGTGCTGCTTTTTCCCCTCTCTTTAATGACACTGGTCTTGTTGCCGCCTCCCAGCAGGCCCAGTAAGGCCCGGCCACTACCAGCAGGCAGCGACACGCAGGGCTGCAGGGTCTCTGTCCCTGTCAGAGATGATGACGGTGACACCGTGGGGAGCATCGGGCCATCGTCACGCCCCCCCTTGGATGCTTGGGCAGGAATGGCTGTGCTTGTGACCGAAAACGGGGTGGGGGGGATCCCCGCGGGGGCCCAATGGCCCCTTCGGATGAGCAGGTGAAAGGAAACGCTGAGAAGGCAGAAGAGAAACATGGTGTTGGTCAAGCTGTGTCTGTGTGGTGGCCCTGGGTTGGCCCTGGACAGTCCATCGGGGTTCCTGGGGTGGCCCCGGGGTGTCTCTAGAGGGTCCCCCAAGTTTCTGGGGATCTGTAAGGGACCCTGTGGTTTCTGGAGTGTCTCTGGGGGCCCCTGGGGGCTCCAGGGGTCCCTATGGTGTCTCTGGAGGGTCCCCAGGGGTTGTCAAGGGTGGCTGAGGGGCCCTGGAGGTGTCACTGGGATGTCCTTGGGAGGGGTCTCTTGTGTATTGCTGGGGCTGTGTGCTGTCTCTGGGGATCCTAGTGGCTCTGGGGGTCCCTATGGTGTCCCTGGAGGGTCCCCAGGGGTCTCTGGAGGTGTCAGGGGTTGCTGAGGGGCCCTGGAGGTGTCACTGGGGCATCCATGGGGGTGTCTCTTGGGCATTACTGGGGGCCCTGGGATGTCCCTGGGGGGCCCCTGGGGTATCTCTAGAGCATTTCTGGGGGGGCGTCGTGGGGGGGAGCGGGGACACGGGGGGCCCAGATCAAACCACAGGAGGAAGGGTTGTGTGGTGCTGAGCTGCAGTAGCTTTGAAACGGGGAGAGGCAATTTGGGCAAAAGTGCCCCTCTGTGGTTAATGTGGGGGAGGAAAAAAAAAAAAAGAGGTTTCTGTTAGGGGTTACAGCAAGTTTCGAAGGAAAAATCACTTTATTACGGGAATGTTATTAAAGTTCAGAAAGGGGATGGCGTTTGTCTTAGCTGAACGAGAAGAAACGCAACACAGCGGTTGACCTGGTAAGGAAACGAAAGAAAAGCTGCCTCTTTGTGACCCGGGAAACCATTTTAATGTAAAGCCTTTCTTTCTGCTGAGCTTCGCACAATCAAGCCTTTAAGTTCAGCCAAAAAAAAAACCTCTGTGGCCGCTGCCTAGCAGCAGGAAGCCAGCAAGGGTTTCTATCATTATTATCCGAGTATGAAACCTTCTGCAGGTGGAGCGGGAGCAAAGCCTGCCTGCATGGAGAAGGGCCCACGGTCGCCTGGTGGCGCTCCTGCCCCGAGCAATGTCGCCGGAGACACTGGCGCTCTGTCACCGTTTGGGACGTGGCCCTGTCCCTTCTTGAAGCACAGGCTATGACCCCCTCCTGGGATATCGGCTCGGTCCTCTCCTGGCCCGGCCACCTCTTGGCTTGTGCCACGGCTCGCATGGAGACACCTGGCCTGGGTGAGCAGCTCCACACCAGGGCACTGTGTGTCCTCCTGGAGCAGCTCCAGGACATGGTGGCTCAATCCCACCACCGCTGCTGAGTGTGTCCTACCCTTTCCCCTTCCCGTGCTTGACCCTTTGCGTTGTCACTGCCCTGGGCACCTTCTTTTGCCTTCGCTCCTGAGGGCGGTGGAAATGGGAGTTGGTCTGGAACAGCTTTGGCTACTAGTGCTAGTAAAGAACACGGACCTCGACCCAAGGGACACAGCAGGGCTCACAGCCACACAGCTGCACTGCCCTCTCTCACAGCACTGGGTACCTTGTCCAGGCTGCCCCTGGGAAGGTTTGCTGGGCCAGGCTGTCCCCAAACCATGTCCAGGCCTTACCCAGCAGGTTGTCCCCAGTCAACACTATGCGTGCTGGCAGTTGCACAGCATGGGTGACCATGGCATGGTGCTCCAGTCCATGCCTGGGCAGCTTTCAGCTACTTGGCTAGTCCTTGGGGAGCGCCAGCCCCACCAAGGACTGCAGCAAAGAGGGCATCTTAGCCTCTGTGAGCTTCAAAGGGTGCATCACTTCTGCACGTCTCTCTCTCCAGCTCATGGGCTCCATGACTGTGACCTTATGGGTTTTCCCCTACCGCCCCACATTTCAAAGGTTCCAATGCCACATCCTCTGCACAGGTCCTACCCTCCTACCTCCACGCCCCCAAAGGGTCTCCAGTTTTAGGGGCACCCTCCTCCAGGCTTCTGTCAACCTTGCAAGATCAGAAGAAGCAAAAAGGAAATGCAGAGGCTCAGTCCTGCTCTAAGATAGCCCCTGAGCATGCTACTTGGAAAGGAAACAAGTGGTTACGACTTGCAAGCTGCAAGTCCATGTGCAGGAACGCGGTTGGTGGGGGGGTCTCTGATAGAAGAACAGGGCAGGAAATGGGTTAGGGAGGTGTGCAAAAACTCAGGGGTGTCAATCCTCCCCCAATCATCATACCAACACCACTGCTCCATTGCGCTACACCCCAACACAACAGCAATCGCAGCACAGATGGGGCTCCATCCACTTCCTATCATGGGATCTCCCATGATGTTCAAAGCTGAGCAGGTAACTCACGCAATGGGATCCCCTGCATATGTTTGCCTTCAGCCAACCCTGCACCCTATACACTTCCCTCTGCAATGGGGAGGGGGATCAGGGAGGCAGCAGGAGGCCATAGTGTTGTGCTGTTATGGTGTGGTGGATGCTACATGGTGGCTCCAGGCTCACCACCACCACATTGACGCGCTGCTGAGGTTGGCAGAAGAGCCTGGTGAGGCCAGCAGCTGTCACAGTCTCACATCCTAAGGCAAAGCTGATAGTACCAGCTGCACTCGGCTCCTACTGGAGCCAACGGAGAGAGGGAATGAGAGAAGAAGGTTGATGAACATACACAGTGAAGGTGACTCACTCACTCAAGACTAAGGTT